CCAATCCTTCTGCTTAATTCCATCTTCAATCAACACCAATCATCGTAGATTGCCTCTTCCATATCCTCACACTGCCAGTGCCATGTGCCATGCCAATCCAATCTTCCCCTGAAAACATCCATATCTGAATCCCAACCCAAACCCCAAAAAACCCATCCTTTTTCCTCGGAAATGGAGGGAAGTATCCTCCCCAATCGCCCACTCCTTCCCGCTGCCATGAACAGACCAGCACGCCCAAACCCAACTCTGAAATTCAGCCCCACCACACTTCCACTACCTCCTCAATCCCAAACTCCACCCTCATTTCCCTTGGATTCTCTCCTACAACACCTCCTCAACCTCTCTGCCACTCCAAACGCTCCCGCTGGTCCAAACCTCAGAGCAATAATACCCAGATGACTTCTCGGCATATTTCTGTTGATTCTAGTCAAAATCTTAATCGACAAGCACATCCCAGGAAACCCAGTTCGGTTTCCGTCTTGTAGTTGAACGGCAGTAAAGAGGAGGGTCAGTTGGGAGATGGGTCGTTTGAATTTTTGTCGAGAAAGGGTAAGTTTATGCTGGATTCAATGGTGGAACAGCAATTGCATAGCTTGCATGATTTCTTCGATTCTAACAAGTTTATGCTGCTTGAAGCTGATATATTTAGTTGAGGAGTGCTAGGAGCACTCGCTCCAACACTCTCCCTTCAGCAATCGCTCCTTCATTTAGCCACGTCTCTAATGATTTCGAGGCCTTAAGTGGGAACCGGCAATTGTGGGTGACCATTTTATTAGCATTAAATTAAAATAAATACATATGGTAGTGTGATGCAATATTCAAATTACATCAATGCCCTCGTAATCATCTTCTTCCTCCTTCTCCCTGATAGAATCCCTGCAATTTTGTTTTCTTTTCTTTTCCAAACAGAATCCCCCATATTTTAGGTTTGAATTTATTTTGTCCTCTCCTTTCCGTAAACTAGAACTCCTACTCTCCTCTTCTTCTCTACTAAGACCAGAACCAGAACCAGGCTTTCTCTATCCTCTGTTTGTACCAGACTTTCTCTCCTCTTGCGCTAGATCTGGCTGCAAAATCACGCTAGGTTCAGCAAGGAACCCAGATCTACAAGTATTTTCATTCATTTTGTGGGTTCTTTTGAGAGAGGGCCGATATGGGGAAAAAGGAAGAAATTTGAGAACCCAAATATGGATCTAGCTTTGTGCAATTGTACTCTCTCTTCTTTTCTCTTTCTCTGTTTTATTTCTCATTCGTTCTCATTTTCTTCCTATCGTTGGCCGCCATCGGGCTTGGCTATCTGGGCACGGGATGTTTTATGTGGCCGTTCGTCGGTGTTGGTAAAAGGGGGTTGGGTTCCTTCTGTGCTATGAAGATTATCAGGACAAATTTGCAGTAAAATTAAATTTGTAGAGGAATGTGTAGCACGTTTGCTGGGAAAATTTTTCTTTGCAGAGGAATGATAATATAGAATCCAATGGGTCTTTCTCAAACGCACCCGCACTGCCGTCATCCACCTTTCATTTTTAACCACAGCCTAAAGACTTTCTTCAGTCCTTCATATTTCTGCAAACCCTCAATACAAATTGCAACACTTTTCAATTACTCTCCTTTTTTATGATTACTCCCACGCAAATTAGGGAAATTTCATAATACCACTTCTCATTTTGCTCCTCTACTGGTT